GTAATGTGTTTTTTTTGCCTTTACTCCTCACCAATGTTGCACAGTGTCTTTGATGTTGTGTTTCACTCACGAGAAATAACTACAAAAGGATTCACTACATAATTTTGCAGATTACAGAGGTATTCAGCCGCTTTTCTTTCTATTTGCAAAGAAAAAAAATCAAATAAGACTTTAAATACTCGCACGTTCTTTCTTCAGCATAAGACAAATAGAAAGAATAAACAGAAATGACTGGATGTCATATTGTATTGCCTAGGATTTTTATTTGACAGAACAGAATGAAAGACAAACATGCAAATTTACTAAAATATTTTTTTGTTAATATGCCATGGGCAGCAAGGTTGAATATTTTGGGGGACTGTATTTGAATAGTACGCATGTGATTTGTTCTGATTCGATAAAATTAAGTAAGAGAAAAACAGTTGAGGACATTTTATTTTTTTAAATTACTAGTCAAGAATAATATATTCCAGGTATCCAAATAGTAATTTCGATAGTTATCTGAGCGACAGAGGACAGCCATTCTAACTTTTATTATACAAAAACCTTTTTTTTTGATAGAAAAAAAAATGTTTACCTCATTTCGAGTATTTAGTCAGTTTCTTTCGTTATTCATCTGCAGCTAGAAGTTCTTTTGTATACGATTGTGTGCAGAATCTAACGGGTTACATTTTAGTGAAAAGCATTTAATCTCATATTAAAATATAAATTAATTATTAATTATGAGTAGTTAATTTATAATATTTCATTCATTTTTAACTTCGAACTATTTCATATAAAAGATTATTAATAATAGAATGAAAATATATAATGATTATTTTAGAATGGATCATTTTAGTAAGATTATTAGTATGTTTTCAGTTTTATGCAGTCATAATGTTCATTATTTTTTAATAATTTCAACTGTGGACCAAAGCTTTTAATCCGACAAAACTAGTGTATTTTGAGGAGTAGAATTCCTTCATTCAAGTGACTTTCTGCTGCTATCTATGCAATATACTATTCCAATGTTAAAATGATTTCAAAAGTTTAAAACGCAAAATAGTAGAAAAATCACCCGGGATTATGACTTAAATACCATCTTAAAATCAAGGATGCTGCAACATTTAAACCGAATATTGTACAGATAACAGTGAAAAGTCCTTTGAAATAGCAAATTCTACTCCTCGAAACACGCTAGCTTTGTCGAGTCTAAAGTTTCAGTTCATAATTGAATTTATTAAAAATAATGAACATTACGAATTAATGAAATTGAAAACACTCTAATAATCTTGCTAAGATATTCCATTCTAAAATAGTCATTATATATTTTCATTCAATTATTAATTGTCTGTTATATCAGATATTTTGAAATTGAAAATCAATGAAATATTATAATTCATATTTTAATATGGATTAAATGTTTTTTACTAAAATTTAATCCGTTGGATTATTCACTCAATAATACACAAAAAAAACCTCCAGTTGCAGATGAATAACAACAATATTAGATAAGTATTCGAAACATGCTAAACTTTTTTCTCTTACTTTGTATTAGTTATGCTTGTCGACTTTATTTTCTTGCAACAAATAATCATAGTTTGTTTTTGACAACAACAATAAATTTTCTAGAAGCTCTCTTTTTCTATGATATGATCGACAAGATACGTTTCCATTCTCTTTACACTATATCTCAATTGTTTTACTAGAATTGATCTTAGAAAAATTTATTCGATTTCAAATTATGAACGAAATTGTGTACGACAGTTTTTTTATCAATAATCCGATTGTTTGTGTTGAATTCCATGTTTTTTTCTTAAATCATGTAACAATGAACGATTAAAAGGACAACTAATACGTCGACCATTATCAACAAAACCTCCTAATTGCCATTGACGATGTTCATGTACAAAATCTTCTATCCATAAATCTAAACAATTAAAATTTTTATCCCGTGTTCTTTTCGTAACTAAAGAACAAAATTCTTTATCTTTTTCACACATTTCAACAAATAATTGTCCATCAGGTGCTAGATTATCATGAGCATTCACAGGCAATGAAAAACCTTCTAAAATAAGTTGTGATGCTTGTCGAATTAATTTAATAACTTCATCTTTTTTAATACCATTAGGTCTTTCATTAATTGCATAATAAAGACCTTTGATATAAGGTGTACCACTTGTTATATATTGCTCAAGATATGAACTATATGCTTTGTCCGTATTTTCTGATCCTCTTGGTTTTACACCTCCAAGATTAATAGTTACAGATCCATCTGATAAAAATGTTTGATACATTTGTCCAGTATCTGGTCCAGTAATATGAATATCCATTTGTCGTAAAATTTTTAGTTGATCTATGAAATTATTTTCAATTAATTCATATGTTAGAGATCGAGAATCAGTTGATGTCGAATTTATTTGAACTGAACTAAAGCTTTCAGTTCCAACTTCATTGTAGAAAATATAATAAGCGCGAACTAATGGCCATTGTAACTTAGTTGTGCTATTTGTAGCTTTATCCAAATAAAAATCTGTATAATCATTTATTTCATCTATAGCGTCAGCGATTTCTTTTCGATCTTCGCTTGTAAAATGTTTATTATCAATAATATATCCTAAAAGAAGATCATTAGAAGTTCGTTTTTCCGATGAAGATTTTTCTCGAACGATTGGATGAATAAGACCATGTTGTTGATACATTCTATCACGAAAAAGTCTTGAAGCATCTAATTCAACACCTCCAGGTAATTGTAAATTAGGTTGTGTACAACGTTGACACAATGTTCCACTACCCATAACAAGTTCTTCAAACATAAACCAATTTCCTTTTGACATTTTATTTAGAACACTTTCTTTAAGAATTCCAAGACCACCAAAACGACTATAAATATCTTCACTCCAATAATCATTACAATCACTAACTCGAGCAAGTATGCGAAAAGGATGAAGATGTCTTGGAGAAAAACGAATAAGTGCAACATATGCTGGGTAGAGTCCATCAAAAAGTGCATGACCAATATTATCATGCCAATATTGACCAAAATAAAGAGTAACAGATGGAATTATCTTTGGATCAATAATAGTACGAACAAATTTTTCAAGATCAGAATATGAATCAAAAACACGTTTGTTTGGTGTTGTAGGCCATAGTGCAAAGGCATCTGTTCGTACAGAATATGAAGGTAAATGTTGTCCTTTTACACTTAGAATCATAAATTCACTATCAACATAATACAGATTATGATACAAACAAGATTGATTATATAATGAACCAACACATTGAATAATTGTTTCTAATGTTTTATTTTGATGAGTAAATTTTGAATCTGTAAAAGTCAAAGTATGTTTATTGATTTCTAATAGTAAAGGTTGTTTTGATGCTGCAGCTATTGAATCGCTCTGGTCATTACTAGCATTTAGGTAGTGTTGTTCATCAATTTGATTCTTGTCAACATTCAATACATTTAGAATCAGTGACTTCATGTTTTGTTTTTGTAAAATTAAAGCTCGTCGGATGAAAGTAAGAAGAATTGTGAGCATAAAAAGTAATAGGAAACAAAATATTGAATAAATAAATCTTCTTTTTCTAATTGTTTTTAACATAATTGATAATAATCTGAAACATATATATTTGTGTATAGAAAGGACGATGAAATTAATAAGTGCTGTTCAACTAGATTTTCAAAAGTCGTTCACATATCTTTCTTGTGTTGTACAGTAGTGCAATAATTCAGTCAATAATTTATTAAGCTTCAGTTAAGATGGTATGATGGCCATGAAAAAAAAATTGCCGAAATGAGCGATTTAAGGGAAACTATTTAAAATGGCAACGCTTTTTTAACATTCATCCACTTTCACAATTGCACTAGCTAACCTACACCAAAATCCGAGCCCAAAACCATGTCAACACTGATGCCAAGCACCTATGCTCACACCCATACTCCAATTGAAATGCAGATAACTATACTCGCTCTCAGCTACTGTTACCACGATTGTGCTGAATCATCTGAAAGTCGAAGAAAATCATTTTTAACCTGACATTATTGATTTGTTGACATTCTACCGGACTCGATAATCGACAATCAGTTAAAGATGAAATTGTTTATCAATAAAATTATATAGCTTATTGTACTAATTGGATTAAGTGAATGAGTACTTTGTTTTCTGATATGAAACTCACGGTATGAGTCTAAATCATTCAAAAGGACAGACTTAGTCACTCACTCATATCCAGGCTAACTTACTTCCAGCCACTAGCCAACTCGATGACTGACATCGAAACCAACATTTTGACATGTAATCATCTACATGTGCAACATTTGATATATTAACTACTTCATAACTCTTACATTAACTGTTTTTGCACTATGATAGGATAAGCCAGTCGTTAACAATACCACAATCACGACCATCGTATGCGAAGTTTGTTCCACTTTTTGTATAAAATTCTGAAGTAGGGTCTTGATCACTTCGATTAGTTCTTTATGCTGTACTTCCAAAAAATCTACTTTCCTACTCTTTCGTACTGAATCGATAGCCTGTAAAAGGTTTGATCATAGACTAAAATGTTAGATTGTGTCATTGGAGTTGTCGAGAGTTACAGAAATAAAACTTTGAATGCCTTCCCTCAAATATAAAAAGTAGTATAGAAGTAATCGTTGTAATGTAGCTTCCAGAACTCACCAAAAAAACGATAAATTCTCTTAATGTCTTATATAATCTGATAGATGAATGCTTAATCGATAATACTAGATGGTTTATGTGACAAACTTGAATACAAGGATACCCGTCAACTGACAGTATTCACCTTTTTCTTGCTCGTTATATATCACAATACTATCTAATGTCGATACGTAAGGCGCGCACAATTCAAAATTACACCAATTTTTTCCGTTTTCTTTTTATGTGAGTCAATAGAGCATGCTGACTTGCCTAGAAAAATCTACTTTGCGGATTTTACAAAAGTAAAAGTCAAACGAAATTTTGATAAAACATAGAATTCCAAATATCATTTAAAAAGTGACTCATTTTTATACATACGTGAATATCTGTTATATTTGATCTGTAGAAGGTTTTTAAAGTTTGTTTCCAGATTCGCGATACAAAAATTATTTAGGAAAAACAAATGCTAACTTTTACTTTTCCTAATAAATTGTGTATCGTGAATTTGGAAGGAAGCTTTGAAAACCTTCTACAGATCAAGTATAACAGATATTCACGTATCTATGGAAATGAGTCACTTTTTTCATGATGTTTGGTATTATATGTTTTATCGAAATTATTTTTGACGTTTGTTTTTTTTTAAATTCGCAAAGTAAATTTTTCTAGACCAGTTGGCATGCTCTATTCACTCACATTAAAAAAAAACGGAAAAAAATTGATATCATTTTAATTGCGCGCATCTTACACATGTTTATATCGATATCCGAAACAGCAAGATGAAGATAGGTAATCAAGCGTATTAATCGATCATGAGAGAAAGAAGAGTTACATATACAGAGAGTGGTGAAGCATAAACAGAATGACTCATTTAAGAAGAATGCGAAATTTTAGAGCATTTTTTTCTTATTTATTTGTATGTCTTGAAAATCTAGTCACAAATATATGTATATAGTTTTTTTTTCTCGACTCAGCCATTGTTTAATTGATCAAAATCGAACGACCGAATATGTAAAATTTGACGATTATGAACTTCATTTTTTCATAGAAGCATTTGTGAGTATTTTTGTAAACTAATCTAGATTTTTTAACAAGAGCTTAAAGCAAGTGTCTTGCCTCATTCGAATTGTGAGATTATTAACTACAATAGTACTTATTTACTTCTTTTAAAACCTCTTTTTTACTGTGGAGATAAAAGAATGGAAAATATGGTCATATTTAACAATTTTTACTAGCACGAGTCACTTAAAATGCGAAGTAGATAGCAAATTTAGAATCAACGTTCAAAATTGATTGGAATCATGTGTATTTCAGTAAAAGATGTTTTTCGATACAAAATACACTTGTGCTCCCCTTAGGTTTATGTTTCTAAAATTCTCTTCGTAGTTTCCCAGCAGTCAATTTTTGATAAAAAAAACATAATTCTTAAAACATGTATAATTTAATGCAGTTTTTGACGCTGATTCTGAATATGCTACCTAGTTCATATAATAACAGAATTATGATAATAGAAACCGCTAAAAACGTATTTCTACAGCTCATGGTCGGATGATTCTCATGAAGAGAATACACATGTTTATATGTATTGTTACAAAAATACTCACGATTGCGTGCTGTGAGGTATCGTGGAACTATTAATATCGGATGGGATTTTTCAATCGCATTGATTCTAAATCTAAACAAATAACATTTTCCTACTCAGTTTTTGACAAAGTTTGAAACGATAACTTAATTGAAATTTGAGAATTTCTGTGAAAAAAAGGAAGTTCATAATTGTCAATATGACATATTTAATCGTTCGAAATTTCAAAGATTTTTGTCAACCAAACAGTAACTGAATCGAAATAAAAACTATATATTTGCGACAAGATGACCAATATCTATCAAATTATATACAAACAAACGAGAAAAAAATGCCTTCAAATTATACATTCGTCACAGCTGGAGGTGTAAGCCGAAGGGTCAAACGGTGGCGGCGCCTACTAGACTATGTTTTTCTACACCGGCGGCGGCGGCGGCGGCTTTAATTGTAAATTTTTTTCCATAGCGGCGGCGGCTGCTAAAAAATTCGTAACACTATGTTCTAATCTAATAAAATGACGTTTACATGTTCGATGAAAGGTAATAAAATGGATAAGGAAGCAAAAAAGAAAACATGAAATATCATTAATAGAGACTCATACAAACAATGTTTGGTATAACCAATCTAAATTTATTAACGCGTTAACAGGCTGGTTTGAAGACAGATTGATTGTCATATTCTATATGGAAGTCGTTTTTCAGATTCTACAGTAGATAGGTGTAATTATGAGTATATCAATCGTATATGTGGGAATATGAAACGGCTGCGTAATAGTTGAATAGCTGACGATCGAACAGATTTGCTTTGAATATAATCCATTATAATTTGAACATTTGACTTTATGAATGGAAGTGTTTCGAACGATTAATTTTCTTCAAGTTTTCTTTAAATATTCAATAGGGTAGATGATACATTGTCTTCTCAGTGGCGGATCCACCTGTTCGGCGAACCGGCGACCGCCACCCCCTTGCGAATTTTTTTTTCTATTTTTTCTCAACAGAAATAAGAAAAAAAGTAGTGGTAAGACATCAAAAAGGGTTCCAAAACCATTATTTGACCATGACCGCCACCCCCTTGGGCAAATCGCCATCCCCTCACTGATTTTCTGGATCCGCCCCTGTGTCTTCTAGATTGAATATTTTATTGGTAATTGGTGGTACTGAAGGAGGAATGAATCAACCGCAAATAAGTGTTTGGTTTTCGTGCACTTATAGTAAAAATATAGGTGGGAGTATAATTATTTCATTATCTGTCTGTATAATTTCTTTATTTAGGAATGTTTTTCGGTTTAAGTTAATTCAATGACAAGACGTGCTATTAATAATTGAGATGGCCTATCGATTTCTAATTGGTATGTATAATTTATATCGTGTGGTGGTTGTTCTATTCAGTAAACGTTTAATTTGATCTTTGAGAGGATTTGTTCAATACATTCATCTTTAGGGTTAAAATATTATGTCATCATACGGTTTTCCTTTTCCAAAATACGAACAAATTATGAAAGCCTTATATGAAATTGTAGACATTTTGTACATATTATATTATTTATCTTGAAAATATGTACTTGTTTGTTTCCATTCAAAACAGTAAATATTGTCTAAATTTGTACCCGATATATAATATGTTCATATAAAATTCTTTTGATGAAAGTGTTTCAATTCAATAAATTCCTTGTGTGAATATGAGAAGTGGATTTTGTAATGGGAAAAGTTTGCTACTTCCATCATTATTGAAAACAGCTGAAAAACAATAGAGTGACGTACGATTGAAGACAATAGAGTTTTATCAAACATAAGGACTAACCGTCAGCCAACTATCTGAAATGTCTGGGCTAATTGACATAAATACATTGCAGTACCGCCATTTAAACTAAAGATTTCAACTGTTGAAAAATGAATCTATTCTATAATAATTAAGAAACTTGGTTTTTGTGTATTTGCGTATTGATACAGCTTCTCAGAGCAGAATACTATTGATTTTTATGAATCTATTTAGTTTCTAGAAGAAAAACATCGTTTTTAATTCTATCTTGTTTCATATATCTATGCTGACAGTGAGAATAAGAAAAATAGCTCGTTCAAACTCATAACTTCGAATTCATAGAAATTATAGAATAATTTGAGGTCCGTTGTAACTGGTATTGTCTAATAGGAGAACATATTTGAGTACATTGCTTGAGAAGAAACTCAAAATTATTCTATTTTATGTGAATCTTAGTAAATGTTGCCAATATCTCAGGTGT